TCAACTAAAGTTTTGAAAGCAAGATGTAAAAGTGACATAATATAAGTAATAACTAGATGTATAAGAAGATTGCAAGCAATCTTACGGAGGCCCCATAGGCTTTTTTGAACATTTAAAGGTCAGCCAAAGGTCAAATCTTAAAACAAGGTCATATATGAACTCCAGGCATCTTGTAGATGATTTTTAAAAAAAGTTTGGTCAATTTGAAGCAATGTGAAGTTTAGATAGGAAGGATAGGGTAGGATGAGATAGGAAGGATGGATGAATAAGTACAGTACCAACAGCTTCATCGTCCTCTTTGGATTTTTGGTCCCCATTTTTGATGTACATGAATGTTTTTTCTTTAATTGAAGATGACAGCGAAGGATGAACCCAGCATTTCATAAAAATATATGAATCTTTGAGAGCATCAAATACATGGTAACTTCTCCCTCCTACGACTGGGTTGTTTAATACATATATATGTATCATATCTGTCTTTGTAGCCTGTAACAGAATTATGGAACATTTAATTAACAGGAGGTACTCTATGAGGTCCAGAGCTGTCAAGTGTCCCGCAACTCATGGGATTATCCTGCGAAGTTGATCAAAATTAGGCTTATTGGCGGGTCCCGCAATGTCCCATGAAATCCCGCAAAATCCTGTTAAGTGTCCTGCGACCATGTGATTGTCCCGCGAATTAAGTCATTGAAAGGCTTTATTTTTGAGACATTAGGTCTTAAAATCTGTCCCGCGAGAAAATATTTGGAGGTTGACAATACTGGATTTCTCATGCAATTTAAAAAAAATTAGATTGCACGATTACAGGTTTTTTGTTTCCTTATAGGTTTACATGAATAACCACTGACACAATGAGTAGGGGGGGGGGATGAACGGTTGTTCCTGGGCCTGTGCTTCATGCTTGGTAGGAGTAGATCCACAGGGAGTAAGTCACCCCCCTCTGTAATTATTCTCTATATTGTAATGTAGGCTACATAATATATGAGGGGTGACTTACTCCCCACAAGTAGATCTAATCCGGTCCGGCTGAAAAATGAACAGAGGTGGGGTAGCAGGGTAATGTCACAGCCTGCCATTTGTTACAGACGCTGAACGGTTTACGCCAACTGCGACACGTCGAACACCAACCGCCGACATCATCCACAAAAAGAGACTTGTTGTGGAAACTATAAATGACTAAATGAAGAGGTGAACGGTATTGTAAAATCTGTAAGGGTTTGATTTAAAAAATAGCTGACATTGCACATGATCATGACGGAGCGCCGTTTTCATTGAATGTTATGACGTTATGTAGGCCTACCAGTGGACAAGTATACTGAAAAGTTGTACTTGGATACCTTATGAATTAATTACTAATTAGTTAATTAAGGATAACTTACCATGATTTGAGGAATATAACAAATCGTAATGAGTCAGAAGTTCTGCGTCAGAAGTTCTGCGTCAGAAGTTCTGCGTCAGAAGTTCACGTGTGGAAAATGGAATTATTCCACTAAAAGTAGTGCGAAAATGGCCCTTTCACGACTTGAAAGTTTTGATGACATTTAAAGACATAGTTCCTCTTTCACGTGTATTATCTCATGGAAATGGGCATACCAGTGCAAAGATCTTTGTTCTGTGGTGAATAATAGCTATCAAACATTGTATGAAGAGCAGATTTAGCTCCGTAATTCTCCTTTTAAGATGGCGACCTTGACCTTGAAAAAATATAGTTATTTTTGAAGGATATCCACCTGATAGTAGTTGTGCCAAGTTTGATGGAAAATGGGCCTTGTTTGATAGAATACTAATATCTATCTGTATGCAAAAATTCAGGCAAAAATATTAGAGTGTAGTGTCAGGATTCGAGAAACTTAAAAAAACTTATATTTGATTTAGATTTTGACCTTTGTCCTTGACCCAGATAAAAGATTCCTTTCCCGCCAAGTTCAGCCCAGGTCCCTAGTAGGGTTATGTAGTAGCTAGTTGAAAGCTAGTTGGAAGTAGGAGAAAAAGAGGGAGGAAGAATAAATAATTAGACCTTTTTCAGTTTTTGAGGTCCAATATCTCAAAACTGGTTCAGAATTTTAATAGATAATCAATTGTTAATATGTGTAAAACATTTAGAGGAATATATATCCTGACTATCTGAGTTGTTATTTTTAAATATGATTGGAATGATTTGATATGACTTGACATGATTAAAATATGATTGATATTTATATGATTGATTAGATTTTTTATTATTTAATTAATATGATTGATATGGTAGACATAATTTAATTTGATTGATTTACTTAGATATAATTTAATATGACTTGATATGATTCCCATATGATGAATGATGTCGATAAACGACGATAGTAGACGATGATAAATGATAATCGGACAGACAAGGATGCTAGAAAACGATGCTAGACAATGATGCTAGAAAACGATGCTAGAAAACGATGCTAGACAATCGTTGATGATAATAGACAATTCTCGCATCGATCATGATAGGCAATGATTTAGTATTGTAAGGGTAGCCTTGGTGGTCTTACACGACATCTATTAGTAGAGTAAATTTTTAGTTCTCAGTTTCACTGTATTACAATATCAAGTTTCTTTCTGTTTCTGATTTATAGATGTCATGTAAGATCATTGAGGCTAGTATGGTGAGACAGTGCATGTATGTGTTCAGTGTATCCATTACCCAATGAATAAGTGTGTAACCTCATTCTTACTGTCAATCTTTAAATTCCCGAAGAAACAATATGTGACACCTGATGATAATAGACGATGGTCGATGTTGATATGTTGAACACTGGTAATGCCACGGCGTTTGAATATTACCAATGGAAAATCCAATACCCGGTAAATTTTCTTGAATACTTTTTTCGTCTAGTGTAAGTGTTTTGCGCATGCGCATTAGTTAGCTTTTCCGTTTGAGCTCTGATCAAACGATTTGATATTTACCTTTTGAAACCTTCGTGTATCTGGATTATACTGCTTTCTGTGCTATTGCATACCTTCCCCTATCAAGTTAGTTGTAAGGTAAGTCATATAATTATCTGATTTTGTTCGCATTGATGCATAGAATGACTGTGACGTAGACTAAAGTTGGGGACAAAAATAAATGATTTTCGATCACCATTTCCTAATTATGGTCGTCTGAAAGCCCATAATTTCCAATATTGTCTAGATACATATCCCTTAAATTTTGTATATTTCACATTTTGTTTAATCTCATCCACTGATGTATGGCCTATTGAAAATTCTCTCATTTTTAACATGGGAAATTCTCACTTCAGCAAATCCACCTGTCATTTATTTATGTCCCGAACTGTAGCTAGAAATATGCAATTTCAAAAAATCAAAAATTCATTTGATTTGTCACGTGTGACGTGTCTCCTACCTTATTTTGTGAAATAACTGATATTAAGGCAATTTTTGGTGTTCTTTTCCTGGTAGCCTCATGATTCTGGTTGCCTGTGAATGTAACATTTTTATGATCCAAGTTCCAAGAGCAGTGAGCAAGACATCATTTAAAATACATCTGGGACATAGGAATAATCCAATTTGCGATAATATTTCCCATGATGCATCGCTTTGGAAGGGACAAATTTTCATTTGCCGGACAAACGAGTTGATTACTCTGAATGATGAAATGTCTGGAGATTGCAAAGTCAAAGGTCACGATCCGCTAATTTCACTGGTCGGCGATTACATTATAGCGTATGTATAGCATCAGAATGGTGAATGATTACTCAAACAAAATTTCAACAAATTCTGACAACTAGCGTGAATCTTGACATAATGACAGTTTCTCATCTTCGGATCTTCCGTCAGCCCTATATAACATTGTCATAGCAGGCATTGCAATATATTTTAACATTACCATGGTCATGTCAGGCCTTATAAAATATTAAAAACGGGATAGGAAGCATTCGTATAATGTCTGCTTATCTTGTTTTTAACCACAGTAAATCAGTCATGAATTAAAGGCGACAGTCGCTCCAGGCTTTTATTATTATAACACTACCACGATCATGGCAGGATTCTTGCACAACTTAAGAACACTTAATAACATAGTGACGGTTGTGCCAGGCATAAGCCTTGCAACAGATGTTGAATAAAATCATAGTTAGACATTGATGTTACAGGATAAGTTTCACAGAGAAATACCTTGGTGAAAAAGAATGGAATTGTTCAAGAACTGTTCTTGAAATGTTACAGAATGGAAAACTGAACAGTTCCATAAGTGTTCATCCAACTGATTTTGATATTCTAGAACTGTTCTTTAGCCCTATTTACAACAAATTGGACAAAATGAAATACTTATTCTGTAATAGTTCTGTAATTTTAACCTATGAGCATTGGAATTCTGGTAGAATATATAAAGAACATTTAATTGTTTCTGTTATAGAACTGTAATGTCATTAATCTGTCATTTTGGTTTTAGAATTGTTCTTTAGCCCTATTAACAACAAACTGGACAAAATGAAAGAATAATTCTGTAATAGTTCTATAATTCCCTTTTATGGGCATTTGAACTCAAGTGGAATATCAGAAGAACAATTTTAGCTTTAGTTATAGAACTGTAATGACATATTTCTTTCATTTTAATTCTAGAACTGTTCTTTAGCTCTATTTACAACAAATTGGAAAAAATGAAAGAATGATTCTAATATTTTTCTTTTAGGGCTATTAGAATTCAGGTGGAATATTTAAAGAACCCTTTTATGGTTTAGCTATAGAACTGTAATGACACGTTTCTTTCATCTAAATTCTAGAATTGTTCTTTAACTCAATGTTTTCAAATTCAGAAATAAACAAAATAAAAACGATTCTATAACAGTTCTATCATTAATTTTTTCCTTAGCATTGGAACTAATATGGAATTAGAATGTAGAAGTTAATTTTCATATTTGTGCAATTTTTGAGCTAATTTAATACAAAACAAGAGTATTGCAAAGAAAGTGATAACTTTATTACTAGTAGTAATCAAATAGAACTTTAAAGCATCTTTATTACTTTGACCACTTAAATTTTAATGTTAAAATGTTCAATGTCTCAACTGTCAATGTCTCAACTGTTAAATTATTGTCTTACATTGCTTTTCGTCTTAATACCTTCTGCAGATTTCTGAACTTTGACCTGAAAACATCCTTCGAGCAACCCGTCTTTAGCATGCAAACTCGTTGCAACTCATTGTAGAGTTCAGTTTTAAGTGGGGGCTTTTGGCCGAGATGGGACTTCTTGCCTGTTACACTACGATTTATGAGTTCCTCTTTTGTGAAGACTTGTTGTGAGAGCGTTACGATTACGTCTTGAACATCGGTAGATTGAAGGTGTTTCACCTTTTCTATCAAGTTGGATTCAGCATCATTTTGTTCTCGAGGTTTTTCTTCCATATCCAATAACCTGTCTTCCAAAGCGTTTAGTTTTCTTTTAAGTGATTGGTAACGCTTTTCAAGCACTGCTACCCTGGAATAAAAAAAACAATCCCCTTGTTTTTTAGCTCATGAAAATTCACATTACCTTTTCATTATTTATCACATCAAAATCCTAATGAATTATGCCAATTTTGATCCCCAAATCATAAAAAGTATTAGTGAATTCGTCATCACTAGTAATATCAAATATTGCAGCTATTTTCTTTGATAAAATAAAATAAAAATGGAAATAAATAAACAGTCGGGTGAAATTGGGTACTAATAAGTATGTTATTTTTAGGGGGAAGGATTGAAATACTAGTAGTTTAAAGAACATAGACTAATAAGTGGAATAAAAAATTTAATGTTATAGATAATACCATACCTATCCTTAGTGCTGGATTTTTTGGTCTCCTTGGAATGCTGGGGTGTCTCAGGATCTTCATGATGATCATCATCTGTGGATTTCTTGGGCGTCTCACGGCGATCATCATCATCATCTGTGGTGTCTGCACCCGTATCTGTGCTGTCTTGCCTGTCTGTATCTGTCATATAGGTTGCTAGAGCACTCTTTCTGAGTTTCTCATTGCAAATGTCTTCTGCATCTTTCTTTTCTGAAATATAAGAAAAATATACATCATTAGGCCTATTAGTATTATGAATAGAATAAAACATACATTGATCAAAATTAAAGTTAGTCTAACAAAAAGCACATGTTGCAACTAAAGACATGCTTTCAGTTCAAATTTTGTGGAATGAATCTCTGGAAATTGTGAATTCAATATCAGTTCCATCAACTTTAAAACTATTCCGTTACAGATCCAGAACAGTGACACAACAGTTCAATTTCAGCAGAGACATATCTGCATTTGGAGATGAGTGACTCTGCTTTCAGTTAGACGTCTAGTTACAGACAACCTCAGATAACACTATATATCGTGTGAAACTAGTGATTTTTCACAATAACACACCCCATATTGAACACAGTGAGTTGAGACAAGAAATTCAGAATTAACTTACTTTTCACGATTTTGATGACGACTGCTTGGAACAGTTTTTTATCATGTTTCAGATTGAGTATTGTTCCTTCTTGTAAGCTTAAGGGCCCTTCCCTCCTAATGCTTTCGTCGCATATTCTAACTAAACTTATATGACTGATGATTGATAATTCTCTAGTCTCTTTCCACAGAATAATGTAAAACATGATTCAAAATTTAAATCAAATTCGCATAAACCTGTAAACCTGCTGCTACGAAATTGAAAATGGCGCGTTTCAAACTTGTGTCTGTGTTGAACAACGTCAGTATTGAACTCGTCCATATTGATTATCAGGGGTGATAGCACTACTTTTGCGATGTTTCATTGATATATTAATGTAAATATTCGCAATAAGTCGCATCGAAAGACAATGCATGTTTTTAATATCACTAATATATACATGACAACATGAACAAATAATATTGTTGACTGTTGAAAAGAAAAATTGTTAAAATTTAAATGTTACCACCCCTTATTAAACTTCCCGCCAAGAGTTCACGCCATAAAAATATTGCCCATAAGAATGTAATTCCAACACAAATATCCCTTGTCTCAATACTTTTTCAATCAATCGCAGTGTAAATAATGTATTAATTATTGTGTAATCATCGATAACTGAATTTAAATTAGATTTCCAGAAGTATATTGAACGAAAATGTTTCTTTTACTTTAGAAGTCGTGCGTATTGATAACTGAATTAAGTCGGTGGCATATCGTAGTCTGATAACTCACCGAGGTAATATTCCCGGGGAATAATCCCGATCATTCTTAACTTCCTTTGAAAATATTCACAGTCTGAAAACTCACAAATGCATTGATTTATAGTCTTATAAATTATGAATTAATAAACAGTCTTCAAAACAAAGTTTACCGTTCAGATTAATACATCAAGCACTGAACGAATACATGTAACATCTCCAGACTACGATTTATCGCCAACACAAAAATGGATGGACGTGCAAAATCGGACTGCTTTCAACGTAAGGAAAGTGGTAAATTTGTGTGCCTAATCTGTCAAAAAGAGCTTTCATCCAAACGAAATGTCCAGTTGCATCTTGTTGATATACACGGGGCATGTAAGTAGACAAATTTATTTCATTATTTGTCATTTAAATATGAAATGAATTTTTTAAAACCGACTTCCGGTCAAGACGACAAGCCTCCAAACATTGTTTTAGGCTCCAGACACTTAGAGCCGAAGGAGAGAGTCATCTAATTCAAGGGTTTGATCATTATAACAGTGTAATTCTCTGTCAATACTATAGCTAAGTAAGCTCTACTTTATTTTTTTGTTGGGCGATAATAGGTGAAATACTTTCTTAGCGCTCCATGTAACGACTTCCAATCATCTTTGCGCTATTACTATTAGAGGGGAAACATAGTCATTCCAGGTGCATGTCTTTCTTATGACAGATTAAGATGCATTGGCAACGCTGCCACTGATCGATGGTTATGATTGGTCGAATCAATTTATGTTAATGGTTGATTGGAAACTGTAATGCAATTAGAACTTTGAATGTCAAACTTTAGGGTTTCTCGAATAAGGTTAAGGTAACTCTGTATGATAGAAATTTTGTTGCAATCCTCCATAGAGCCACATGTTATTTTTCAAATATCGATCACGCCTCATTGTTTTATTTGAATTTCTGCAATCTTTTAAACATGGTCTGGAGTTAAAAATTACTGCATATGCTTTTTGAACTTTTAAGGAAGCTAGCACCGAATGAGGAAGTTGAGGAATATGAGGTTTGTCAAAATGGACAACTCAATTTATACTTTGCATATAGTTTTAATAGGTTTGCATTTTAAAATGTGAATGTAAGTTTGATTAAATTTTTATTTTAGCCCCATTGAAGAAAGTACGAAAGCTGTATGATGAAACTGTCGAACACGTGATGCCAAAATCAACATTTTATTATAGAAGACGACAACAAAGAGCGACAATGAAAGAAATCAAAGGTTTGATTTAATAATTTATCCTAAGATTAATGTTTTATCTATACAATAATAGCTAGTGATATTTCAAATATTATTGAAATCTCAGTGATATTTGTCAGAAAATCATTGCTCAACCTCATATAAGGTTGAATATAATTTATCACTCAATCTCTAATATAATCATGGGATAAACCCAATAATATCAGATCATTTTAAGTGATCGCTTACTTTGCTCACTCATGTTGATATCAATTGGTAGATAAAAAATGATATCACTCAAATTGATCTGATATTCAGAATATATTATCCCAAATTTAACCCAATTGTTCTGGTTCAATGATCTGGTATTGAATTGATATTGTAAGATTGTGGCTATTGCAAATAATCCAATATCTTTAAACATAAAGTGCTTTGATAAAGAAATGAAATCATTTTCCCAATTTACATGAACTTTAATAAACATTTGTTCTTACATTTCTAGCTGAGGATGCAGAGGGCTTAAATAGTGAAAATAATGTTTCTGTTGAATCTACTGAAACTATTGATGACTCTGAAAGGGAAAGTCCTGTGTTCAGTGTATTCAGGAAAGATGGAACAACATTTGTTGAGCCCCAGCAAAATCCAGGTATGTCTATATTGCACAAGCAAAATGGTACAAGTTGAGAGAAAAAATGGGTCTGTCCACCATGGGCATGATGTGTAATGTTCCATAGCTGAGTGAGGTCAAGTTGATTTATACTATTGCACTTATATTGAGCGAGGGTTCGTGGGTTCAGTGCCATTCTCTCTAATAAATGCACAGTGTTTACCGAATTATCCTGAAGGAGATGTCTCAAATGACTAAATCCCCAGGGATTTGTGAAAAATGGGCTATAATAGGGTGTTTCTATGAATTCCTGTTAAAAACTGAACTATCCAATTAGATAACATAATATCAGACCTCAATTTTTCCTCATGCATTTATCAATCTGGTGAATGTGTTTCCATGTGATTGACATAATCCATCAATATTTTAGGTGCTTCTATAATGGAAGGTATGAGAGAAAATCATGATTACAATACTGTTGCTGAGAGTACAGATGATGATCATTCTGAAGACGATTCCAGTGATGAATTTGACACTGCTTCAGAATTCTCAACAACAGATGATGAGAGTGATTTTAGTGATGACATGTCTGATGATGATGATGATGATGATTATGATATAACTAATACCCCAACTATATGTTCATCCGAGGACGATGAAAGATCATTAATTTTACTCAGTATATTCCTGAAGCATAATCTTAGCGCTGCTTGTTGTAAGGACATATTAGAAACAATGAAGAAACTTATCCCTGAAAGCAAAAACGCCTTTGATACATTCCTGAGCTATAAACATATGTGGAGTTTGATCGATGTGAAGGCTAAGGAAGTCCATTACTGTTTCAAGTGCTCTAATTTATTCCCTGAGAATCTTGATCAACGCAACTGTTCCAAGTGTGGGTATGATCGATATGAAGACAACATATCTGTTACACCAAAAGGGAGGTTTGTCTTTCCAGATCCTAAGGAATCCTTGAAAAACCTACTCACATCACCAGGTAATGTTCAGTTTCTCAACCACATAGCTGAGTAGCATCAGCTAATATTACTCTCAAATGAGGTTTGTTAAATGGGATTGTTTTGTGATGACGTTATCGTTATGGCACATTTTGGAATGCGTACTCTTCATTTGAGAAACTTGAGTTTTCGAGTTTATGATTTCATTCAAATATATGGCCAGGCTAACATGGCTAAGCAATTCTAGACCCACACATAACACCTCTGCTCCAGAATAATGATACTTTATAAATGTGATTTTTCCCAGTTAGCCTAAGCCAATGAATATCATCATTATTAACTTGAAACAATATTCTTTCAGGAATTCTTGAATCCATTTTGAATCCAGCACCTGGAAGTTTTGGAGACATCATCTGTGATATCAAAGATGGTGCCTGTTATAAATCAACTATGGATGAATGGCATGTGGACAGCATCAAGATATCAGGACTATTCAATACGGATGGAGTTTTACTATATAATTCAACCAAGGTTCAACTATGGCCTATACTTTTAAGTGTTAATGAACTCCCCCCGGCACTTCGATTTGCTCGAGACAATACACTTATATGTGGACTTTGGCAAGGTAAGGGAAAGCCTCCAATGGAGACTTACCTTAATATATTCACACAAAATATGAATGTATTGAAATCAGAAGGAGTAGATGTGGAGTACAAAGGTGAAATCATTAATGTGAAACTCAATGTAGCATTATGCTCCCTTGATCTTCCCGCTAAAGCCTCAGTATTAAACATGACCATGTTTAATGGTAAATGTGGTTGCTGTATGTGTTACGATCCAGGTGAAGTTGTAAGTAAAGGCAAAGGGCATGTAAGGTGCTATGACTATCATCGAAATGCAAGAGACAGAGCTAAATTATTCAAAAGAAGAACAGATGTAAACGTTCGTGAAGATATGATCTTGTCTACAGATAAAAAGAGAGTCAATGGTTACAAGGGAAAGTCTGGCATTAGTGATCTTATTGGTTTTGACTTGGTTAAAGGAGTAGTACCAGATTACATGCATGGTTCGCTCCTTGGAGCTGTAAAAAAGCTCCTAGATTTGTGGTTTTCACCTACAAACTCAGGTGAAAATTACTTCATTGGGAAGCAAATAAAAGAAGTGTCTAAGAATGTTGCTCAAATAATGCCTCCACAATTCATTGAGCGTTTGCCACGAAAAGATTTTGACAAACAATATTCCCATATGAAAGCAACAGAGTTGCAGGCTTGGCTCCTTTATTATGCCTCTCCTTGCCTTGATGGTATTCTGGACAAGAAGTATCTTGATCACTTTGAACTCCTGAGTGAAGGAATATTTTTACTTCTAGGAGACCAAATTTCCCCTGATCGACTTGATAGAGCAGATGCACTACTCACCAAATTTTATCAAAACTTCTCTAAGCTATATGGGAAGGAGAACTGTGGTATAAACATACATAACATAGGGCTTCACACTGTTGAAAGTGTGCGAAACTGGGGCCCTTTATGGGGATGGTCTGCCTTCTCCTTCGAAGACTGTAATGCCACATTTTTTAAATGTACTCACGGAACAGGGTATCGTTGCCATCAAATTGTGAAGTTCAAGCATGCCTCAACATTATTGAAGAAGAAGCAAAGTTCATCATCCCCAGTCCATGACATTGATGAGATCAAGGTAGTTGGAGCCCAGAGTGTTGCGACAAATCAAATGTTGGAACATGTGCAGAATAGTCATTTGATTAAAGAAACTGAGACTTTATGCATTGCAAATAGAATACTCTTAAAGGGAACTAAGTTTCACTCAGAGTTGTATGGTAGAATGGGTCGACGGATGTGCAATTGTGTGCAATTAACTAATGGTAGTTATGGTATTGTGAAAAGATTCTTAATTCAGTGCAATGTTACATATGTACAGTTGACCCCTTTAAGAATTCATAGCAAAAGAGGCCATATTACTATTGCATCCTATTGTGAAGGAAATGTAATTGCACATGCATCTGAAATTTCAGACACTGTAGCAATGGGCATACATGACAATAAGTTATATCTAGTTGGAAGGCCAAATAAATTGGGAAGGTGTGTTTTTAAATAATGAAATCATAAATTTGGTAAAATAGGCTTAACTTGTATATGTATTTTGAAAAGTCTATTAAACATGCACCTAATATTAAAACGTTTATTTCTCAAATATTATGTGAACTTAAAACATAATAATACATTGTACTAGTATATCATTTGAATTAAAGTGAATAACTAGTATTATAAT